CTCATTCTTGAGGCATGGTCCTGGGGATTCACCATTTTAATGAGAGTATGACTCACCTGGTTTTCCTGCGTTGCTCATATGTGGTCAAGGTCAAGAAAGAACCACCTGCTATTTCCAGGACCTTTGGGGTAAGTGAGGCTAGTCTTGTGGATGGGAATCCCACTTTGGTACCATAAGTCAGTAGTTCCCCACATGCAGTATGCCAGAACATGTTTTTTTGGGGGGGTCGTGGGAGGGGCTTGGAAGACCTAGTTCCCCAAAACAACTTGTCAGGGGCCATAAATTCATGGGAGGGCAAAGCAATACCCACGCTTAGGTGCTTGGATCGAGTCAGGCAGAGGCAGCTGCCTTCAGCACTTCCCAGCTGATGGGGTTTCTTGTGCGCAGAATGTGCGGTTAGCCATCCTTGCTCAAGGAGCTCAAGAAAAGGTAGGACTGGGTTGTTAGGACACATGAGCAAGCCTCAGATGTAGAACCATCACTTTACAACCATGATGCGTTCATGTCAGGTCATCATGCGGTATACAGTTTTAGGTTGTATCTATGTGTATATATATATATATATATTTATATGCCTCACAGATGGCATACAGAGCTCAGCAGCATCTTCCGGAGGGTTTTGGCACTTGGGGCTTTTGGCTCCGGCGCTGCGCGCCATGGCTGAAGCGAACAAAGAGGAGATCGAGAAGTGCAAGCAGATTGCTCAAGCGGCGCTCGCGAATGGAGATGCGCCTGCCTCAGCGAGTGCAGCCGGGGCGTGTGAAAGTAGATGGCATCAGCCGCAGAGACTAAGTCCCCCAGCTAGGTGCCCTTTTTTTGGGGAGGGTTCCCCTACTAAAATAGACTACGGAAAAAAGTTGGTACCCTTCTTCTAACCTCTCTACTCGACGACCTAGTAACCTAAATTTGGGGAATGGCGCCTGCTTTGACCCCACTGTAATGCACACCTATCATTCAACCTAGGCGGATCACTTCTGGAATTGCGCCAGCTTTGACCCGACTGTAATGCACACCTATCATCCAACCTATGCCGATCACTTCTGGAATTGCGCCTGCTTTGACCCGACTGCAATTCACACCTATCATCCAACCTATGCGGATCACTTCTGGAATTGCGCCTGCTTTGACCCGACTGTAATGCACACCTATCATTCAACCTGGGCGGATCTCTTCTGGAATTGCGCCTGCTTTGACCCGACTGCAATTCACACCTATCATCCAACCTATGCGGATCACTTCTGGAATTGTGCCTGCTTTGACCCGACTGCAATTCACACCTATCTAGGCGGATCACTTCTGGAATTGCGCCTGCTTTGACCCGACTGCAATTCACACCTATCATCCAACCTATGCGGATCACTTCTGGAATTGCGCCTGCTTTGACCCGACTGTAATGCACACCTATCATTCAACCTGGGCGGATCTCTTCTGGAATTGCGCCTGCTTTGACCCGACTGCAATTCACACCTATCATCCAACCTATGCGGATCACTTCTGGAATTGCGCCTGCTTTGACCCGACTGTAATGCACACATATCATTCTAGGCGGATCACTTCTGGAATTGCGCCTGCTTTGACCCGACTGCACACCTATCACACCTGGATCACTTCTGGAATTGCGCCTGCTTTGACCCGACTGTAATGCACACCTATCATTCAACCTAGGCGGATCACTTCTGGAATTGCGCCTGCTTTGACCCGACTGCAATTCACACCTATCATTCAACCTATGCGGATCACTTCTGGAATTGCACCTGCTTTGACCCGACTGTAATGCACACCTATTATTCAACCTAGGCGGATCACTTTTGGAATTGCGCCTGCTTTGACCCGACTGTAATGCACACCTATCATCCAACCTATGCCGATCACTTCTGGAATTGTGCCCTCTGACCCGACTGCAATTCACACCTATCATTCAACCTAGGCGGATCACTTCTGGAATTGCGCCTGCTTTGACCCGACTGTAATGCACACCTATTATTCAACCTAGGCGGATCACTTCTGGAATTGCGCCTGCTTTGACCCGACTGCAATTCACACCTATCATCCAACCTATGCGGATCAAGTCTGGAATTGCGCCTGCTTTGACCCGACTGTAATGCACACCTATCATCCAACCTATGCCGATCACTTCTGGAATTGTGCCCTCTGACCCGACTGCAATTCACACCTATCATTCAACCTAGGCGGATCACTTCTGGAATTGCGCCTGCTTTGACCCGACTGTAATGCACACCTATTATTCAACCTAGGCGGATCACTTCTGGAATTGCGCCTGCTTTGACCCGACTGTAATGCACACCTATAATTCAACCTAGGCGGATGACTTGTGGGGCAAGTTGATGAACCCAGTCAACATTACAGGTATATTCAATCATCAGGGAATCAGAGTGTGGGATGCCAGACGAGTATTCCCGGGGCCGCGCCATAAGGCGGAAAAGGCATCACGGTTTCTGCAGAAGGCGAAGCGCATGTGTCCAACGGACACATCTATCGACGATCTGCTGGCCAAGGCAGGCGATCTCAAGCATCTTCGAAAATGCCGGGGCTCCCTTTGTTGCTCTCCTTTTCGTTTCGCTTTGAAAGCAACCAAAGAGAAGCATGGGTTTTCCCCTCCCCCCACGCCCAAACAAAAGAAAGAAGCACTTCGCCCCCCCAAAGGAAAAAAAGAGTAGGACACACAAGGCACTGACCAAATTCCCGCAGGCCGCGTCGGGCGGCGGCGCGTCTCCCCCGGCCTCGGGTAAAAGCGCCGGCGCTTCCGCGGCCGCCTCGCCCTCCGCGTCGGCGACGGCGAGCGAGGGCCCCCGACACCGGGGGCAGGCGGCCGGAAACGTGCGGACCACCAAGGCGCAAAGGGGTCAACATGGCTAGGTCCTCCAGCTGGGTGCCCTTCTCTCCCCTTTTTTGGTTGGGAGGGTTCCCCTGCGACCCACCAAACTCACCTCCCAAAATCATGGACTTGGAAGCTTTGATGGTTTGTCTTTTTGGATGATATCTTCTTTGTTTTGCGGTTTTCGATTCGAACTACAAGGAAAACCGAAGCCATTTTGGGGCTCCCCAATAAAAAGACACACCCAACTGGATGTGTCATTTTTTCAAAGGGGACCCACAAAAACGGCGGTTGTTCTTTGGGTTCCCCAATCCACTCCAAGGATACCCTCAATAAAGGACACGGCAAAATGGAAGTTTCGCACCCTGTTTTGGTAGTTACTGGGAAACCAAGAGGAACCCACACATTTTAGGGACCACTTTCGGAGGAACACCCGGACCTCGGAGAAGCAACAGTGCCAATTGGTTGGACTTTGGGTGGGTGCTCTGATGGTTTGTCTGCAGAAAGTGCCCTGATGGTTTGTGAACTGGCTTTTCACATCATCTTTTGGTTGCTGCTCTGTGCGAGTGTGGATTTTATTTGTTTTTCTGTTTATCATGGAGGGTGCCTTTTGGGTCCATTGAGGAGTCGATAATATTGATTTTCGGTGCTGAAAATGATGGCCGTCTGCAGAGGTGACCAAGCAAACAATGATTCTTAAATTGAGGCATCGGTTTGTTGTGTTTGTAAACAACATATTATATAAACCAATGTTGCACATTGCTGAACACAACAAATCCGCTTCCCCTAATAGGGGCTCCCTTCCCTATTTGGGTTCATCAGAGGAATCGGGATTAAATCCCAGATAAGCATTTCAGCCCAACCGATGAGAAACGGTCTCGGCAAGAAGCCGCTCAGGGCGATCGACACCATCAGACAGGGTGCTCTTTTTGCCTGTTTCGGGCTGGTGTTTCAGACTTTTGCAGGAGGCGAACCATCAAAGAAGGGGGTTTCTTACAACCACCCAAAAAGACCTCCCGAACGTTTCGGCCTTTTTTGAGCTTATGTTGCCGCAAAAAGGGTTTGTGAATCCCTAACTCGCTTGGAATTCCATTTATAGTTCCATGTTCCCTCTCATGGGGAAGACTAAAATGGAATTGGGGACCCCCCACCCCCCTCCCCCTAGGGGGGATTTTGAGACTGACTGCTGGCGCAGGATGGAAAGCAGTACACCCCTGAGCAGATGCAGCTGGTCCAGCGGATCTTGCGCACCAAGGATCCGATTTGCTTTCGGGGCACCGCCTCGTAGAAAACTTCTGGCCCCTGCTGATTTTAAGGGGCGCGCGTTTGGCTGGGCCAAAGAAGAACCTTTCGATCACATTTTTGCAAGATCAGTGAACTAAAGGCAACGTGTGTTTTTTCCGATGAATAATAATAATTGTGTTGCCATTGGATGGGCCTATCTTGATTAGGGCTGTGATGTATGCATGGAGCGGAGGTTGAGAATAAGAGTCCTTTGCCAGGTGGTTTTGTCGTTGAGGGCTAGATCTCGAGTTCCGAAGACTTCTTGATTAAGTCCATGGAAGGGTTGGGGGGGGGGGTAAGATCAGATGTGACTTGCAGAGAAGTGGCCATGAATTTTGGAACGCGCTCGAACATGGCTGGTGACAGAAATCCCCACATAAATGGTTGTCCGCCAAAGAGTCGCAGGAAAACATAGTCCATTTGCTGGTCAGGACTACTATGACATTCTCGAGGTCCCCAAGAATGCTGGTGAAGATGTCGCAAAGAAGGCAGGGTGAGCAGCGGTCAGCGGTCGCAATCCAAGATGGCCGTACACAAACTGCCATTGGCATTTTGGAGTGATATTGAAGGGGATGTTTTATGTGTGTTTGAGGGTACCCTTTCCCACCTTTTCGAGGGAAAACCAGGAAGCCGCTGATTTGTTGCCCAAAATCAGTTCTTCTAGTGCATGCCGTTACCCGACTGTCAGGGAACCCACACGGACACGAACTAGAAAAGATGCCGTCCATCTGTTGAGGACCCCCATGTTTGCATCATTCTTTGAATCAGAATGAGAGCGAATGCTTCAGAACTTATCCCTTCAACAAGTGCGCGGGGGGGGGGGGGGGGCGATGTTAAATAACACAACGGATTATCACCAAAGGACAGGGCACCGCTGGAT